GCTGGAGAGCTGCCTGGTGGAAAAAGACCTGGGGGTACTGGTTGACAGCCAACTGAGTATGACCCAGCAGTGTGCCCAGGTGGCCAAGAAGGCCAGCGGCATCCTGGCTTGTATCAGGAATAGCGTGGCCAGCAGGAGCAGGGAAGTGATCTTCCCCCTGTACTGGGCACTGGTGAGTCCGCACCTTGAATACTGTGTTCAGTTTTGGGCCCCTCACTACAAGAGAGACATTGCATTGCTAGAGCATGTCCAGAGGAAGCTAATGGGCAACCTCATTGCTCGCTACAGCTTCCAGAGGAGGGGACGTGGGGAGGGAGGTGCTGATCTCTTCTCCCTGGGATCCAGTTATAGGATGCATGGGAATGGCTCAAAGCTGCTTCAGGGGAGGTTTAGACTGGACATGAAGAAGCATTTCTTTCCTGAGAGGGTGGTCAAACCCTGGAACAGGCTTCCTATAGAGGTGACCAATGCCCCAAGCCTGTCAGTGTTTAAGAGGCATTTGGACAATGCCCTTAATAACATGCTTCAGGTTTTGCTCAGCCCTGAAGTGGCCAGGTGGTTGGACTAGATTGTTGTAGGTCCCTTCCAACTGAAACATGCAATCAGAAGATTGTAGAAGTGTGTCAGGATTCTTTGCTGAAGAGTGAATGTTTTTCAGCTTTGTGAGGTTACAGTTTGTCATCTCTTATCCAAAAAGCTGCAGGGACTTCACCGTATTCTGTCAGCCTTGCAGGTTTTTGGTGCAGTGAATCACCTCTAAGTTCCTTATCAATAAATCATTGCAGAGATTTTTGCATTACATTCACATGATTTATCAACATATAACATACAAATATTCAGCGCTGAACAAAATGATGGCTCAGCATCAATGGGGATGGCTATGTCATGTTTTACAAGATACCAGATTTTACTGCATTACCAAAGCAAAATAAAGTTGCTAATTTAATGATGGGGAGAAGAAATCCTCAATATGTTACATAAATACATATCTTTTTTTCATAATCTTACGTTACTTTTATATACATTCCTTCTGTTTCCTGCATCTCCTCTCTTTATGACATTATAAATTTCTGGTTCAAAATAATTTTAAATGTTAAATAACTTGTATTATTATTTCAGTGATCATATCTTAGCAATTTTTGAAAAGACTTGTTAGATTTTTATTTAGTGTGTTCAAAATGAAATTAAGAAACAGATATGAAGTTAGATGTTAATTTTTAGTAAGTTCTGATGATCAATAGATCCCTTTACATCCAGTCTATCTGTAAATTGAGTTAATGTGAAAACTAATAACCCTATCCTTCCCTTTAAAAAGGAACTACTTTTATTATTTATGGAAGTAATTGATAGTCTCTGCAAGGTGTGTAATACCATTTAAACAAGCGAATGTATGTTTCAAATGCTTTATCTTTGGAATTCATGGTACAAAAAAAATATAGTGAGAGACTGCTTAGCACAGACCAGGATTGGATTCTACTGACTGTATTTCTATATTTATTAACAGAGGTACATATGATATTTATGTAAAATGTGATGGTGTTGGGAGGTGTGTTGGAACCTATGATAACCGAGGAAGTTTTGGTGAGTTGGCCTTAATGTACAATACACCCAGAGCAGCTACAATAATAGCTACCTCTCCTGGTGCCATCTGGGGTTTGGTAAGTGAAATACTTGTTTTAAGATATTATTTGTTTTAATTATTTAGTATAAATTGCACTGGTATGCTATATCAGCATTAAAAAATAGTTATAATTTCAGAAAGTTTAATTTGAAAAATTCTGAGAACTTCCAACAGAACACTGTCTTTTTACAGAATCTGCAGAAGCAAACCTGATGCTTAAGAAAATACTGAGTTTTCAAAAAATCATTTTGCTTTATTCTATTTTAATGATCATTTCCCAAATTACAAATCACTTGACAATTACTTAGACACATACAGAAAATGTTTCCTCATGTCTTGATAGGAAATGCCTTTGGTTTCAGAGTAGAATTCAAATATGAGGTTATTTATCAGTGTTATACTATCTGGATCTTTGACAACAGTAATAGAATTTACCGAAAGAGTAAAACTGGGATAGCCATCTTCTTCAAGATGTACATATCAGTCTAATGACTGATCCCAAGATAACATTTTCCTGTTGAAGTGAAACGCATGTTTTTTCATCAACTTAATCCATATGACTTTTGGGATCATGGTAGAGTTTAGGACGCTATAGGAATGACTTTAAGCTGGATTGGGTTGTATTGGCCAGCAAGTCCCACCTGTAGCAGTGAAGGCTTGCAAAACATTTCACCTCTGTCTGTCACCAGGACACAGTTCTATGAAGTTAAAAGAAGAAAACTGAATACATGTGTTTTTTCCGTCTATCTGCTTCACTTGGATTGCCAAATACTAAGGAATGTCCACTTCAGGGCAGCAATGAGTCTTGTTCTGCTGAAATAGCAGAAAGTGAACTGTGACCTAAAACCCAGACCCATGTATTTCTGTTTTGTTTGTGTAATAATATAAAACCCTCTTTGAGTACGTATCAATGTGTGGGGGACCTCAGGATAATGAATAAACTTTGTAAAATAAATACTTAAATATTGAGGATTTCTTAAATATCTTAAATTACCCACTTGGCATTCATTGTGTAGCCAACCTGTTTAAGGTAGACCCTCTACCCTCTGTATGGAAACTCTGTATGTATTCTTTGCCTAAGGGCAGAGAAGCTTTTCACAACATGAATCAGGTCAGGAGATTAACTTTAGGAGCTCTCGATTGACCTCTAGAGGAATCTTTCTTAACTGACTGTAGGGAAGACTAACCAGCTAATATGACAGCTAACTTAAGTGGCTAAAATTGGGTAATTTGAACATATTCAGCCATTTCTAAAGGATTTTCTACCACATATGTATTTTCTGTTAATAAACTCTCTTTTTCTCTTTGTATTTACAGGACAGGGTAACATTCCGAAGAATCATTGTAAAAAATAATGCCAAAAAGAGAAGAATGTATGAAAATTTTATTGAGTCATTGCCATTCCTTAAATCTTTAGAAGTAAGATTTCTATTGCATTATCTTATTGGCTGTATCAGAGGTGCCTAATAAGATTCTGCTTTTGCAGAGTTTAAATTTGGAATTCAAATTTTCTCCACAATAGATTTTGCATACTTTTGTTTTGGAGAAAGACCATATCTTTGATATTTCTAAATTTTCTGGGTAAAGAACTATTGTTAATATTGTATTTAAAAAAAAAAAACCCTCTTTTTTTTTTTTTTTTTTTTTTTTTTACCTTTACTGTCATTTTCATAAGCTTGATTTTACTAAATATTACCTAATGACTTTGGGAACTTCAAAACATTTTCATTTAACACCTATATTTTTACATGCATGCTTTTCTGAAAATAATTTTTGAAGACTTGGGATATAAAGACTTCTTATAGAAATGGTAGCTCTATCAAAACATCTACCTGTTAAGACTATGATATACCCTCTGGAACACTATTCAGCAGTTCTTCCTTTTTAAATTATTGTCAAAACATGAAAATAGAGATACACTATTCTGTGCAAAGAATTCACAAAAAGAAATATGAAAGGGCTTTCTAAATATAATTTTGTAACGTTAACCAAGTATTTCTTACATTTTCTTTTTTTAAATGAAGGTATCTGAGCGTTTAAAAGTGGTTGATGTGATTGGCACCAAAGTGTACAAAGATGGAGAACAAATCATTGCTCAGGTACAGTTTATTTCTAGTTTTAGTTTTGCTTTTCCAGTAGGTAACAATTACCACATTATCTATAGATAACACGTACTTTTAAACTGTTTTTCTTTCTCAGACGAAACACAAACAATGAATCTTGTTATCTAAGAGAAGTGATTATTTTGTTTCAGAAACTAATTTTTCACTTACAGCACTTTGAAAAACATCCCTTTTTGTTGGTATGAATAAAGGAATCAACATTTTTAGTATAAAAGAATATATAAAAGAATGATTGCTTCCAATAAGGAGCACTGAAGACTTACCTTGGTTTTGTTGTTAAAATATGATAATCTTTTGAAGAAGGATGCATAAATAAACTCTTCAGGGTAGGCAACTGAGATTGTCTTGCCCCAAAAGAATTACTGGAGATCAGACAGACCTTGTGGAGGTTTTTTATACTGGAAACTCTGTAAGGGAAATAATTTGGACGGAATAGCAAAGGTGGAGAAACAGGAGTAAAGATCCTAACATCCTTCACAACATTGTTTTTCTCTGCTTTTTGTATAATGCACAGTCAGCTATGTCTTTTCATGAGAAGGCCTTGCTGTCAGTTCTGTGTAGGTGTTTTGATTATGTGCCTAGAGTGTGGTTTTCACATCAAAAGTGATTTATTTTGCAACAGGTATCAAAAAGATCAGCTTCAAGGCACTAGCTGCTAATACTGTAATGTTACCATGAAAGCAAAAAGGAAATTTCACATTTCCTTTACTCACTTTATTTTTTTTTCTTCTACAGGGTGACTTGGCTGATTCTTTCTTCATTGTGGAATCTGGAGAAGTAAGGATTATAATGACAAGGAAGGTAAACATCCCTAAACCACGGATTTTTATTTATTTATTTATTTATTTTAAATCTTGATGTATTCTAAGTGTTAAACAGTAATGATACCATTGTTACTACTTTTGCTTATGCAGTCCTGAGTTCAGGAAATCTCTCATGCTCCCTCTTCCTTTCTCTTTCTTTTTTTACCTGATATTCCAGGGTAAACAAGATGTAGAAGAGAATGGAGCGGTTGAAATAGCTCGATGCTCAAGAGGACAGTACTTCGGAGAACTTGCTCTTGTAACTAACAAACCACGAGCCGCTTCTGCATTTGCTCTTGGCACTGTCAAATGTTTAGGTATTGTTCAATAATATTTCATACCTAATATAAAATGACACTTAATCTATCTGGTTGGTTTTATTCTGAAGTCTCTCTTTCTCCAGAATATAAGATTTAATTACATTTACCCAAATAAGACTTTTTAAGTACATCATCTATTACTGTGCATTCCTATTTACATTATTTATCTGCAAAAATTATTCGCAGTTAATAGCTGGTATTAAACACATTCTCCAATGTTTCTCTGATCGCATGGAATTAAACATTTATTTCAGGACAGTACAGAGAGTATTGCTGCAAACCATTTATAGCTATCAGATAAATGTCTAATACTCTGCAGACGGTAAAGTATTTCTTTTCTCAGTAGACTGACTCTCATCCAAGAAATTACTGTGGTAAAAATCCTGTCCCGTTTTATCACCATGACTTAAGCTTTAACAAATTCTTTGTCTTCAGCAGCTGTTAATTTAATCACTCTGTCACACTGTAGCTTCAGGCACAGGAAGAGCAAAGACCATAGGGGTTGTGCTCATAGACCACCCTTCGCATCCATTGCTTTTCATGGTCTGATGTTTAGCTCCTAAATATTTGTATCTGATTATGGGAAAACTCTAAACTGCAAAGACAGATTTGCATTCTTGAATGACAGTTTGATTACCAAGCCAGTAATGAAAGACTTTCTCACTTACCTATAAAGATACTATTTTTTAAAATCCTTATCTGCAAATACACAGGATGATCAGGCAATAGAGATCAAAGATGATAGGAAAGAGTAAGAGGCAGTGGTGAGGAAGAGTGTCATTACCCAGTATGGGTGAGTCGCTAAGATCTCTGGCGCTTCCCAAAGAGCAGAGATCTTGAACTTTTCTCAGGAGCCCAAAGACTACAGACCACCAGGTTGGAAGCTGGTTGAAGTATGAAGTTTCCTCTCTGGCCTGTTGGCTAGAACTATAGGTGATAACATTATGTGATCAGGTAAAGAAAATCTTCTGGTCAGTTACGCATTGACATTGCATGTGAATTACCATCTCCAAATTTTCGCACGTGTGCTGGGAAATAAGTGTATATTACAATTTCCACTGTGGGTGGAAACGAGTAAAAATAGCAAGGAAAAATGCTAAGTTAGAGCCCAAATGCAGCCAACAACATCAGCAAAGGATGTGGTTTTTTTGAAATCTGAAGGGTCTTAAAACTGTATTCTGTGGAGGAATCCAGGCCCTTCCAGACTTCTTCAGCAGCTTTTGGGTCACATAAATCTTAACATGAAAATATTTTCAAAGTAAGAAACCCAGCAAATTCTAAGTTTATTTATGAAGTTTCAAGACAGCAATGTGTTGGTTGATCTTGGTTTTGCTATGGCAAGTTGTTCTGTTCTGTGCAAATGAAGTACATGCCTCAGTAGTATCTGTCCTGTTATAAAGTAAAACTTCACATTGGAATGTCATGAACACCACGATTAGTGTCTGCAACTGATGAGCACGTTCTATTCTTTCTCTTTTTCTCCCGTTTTATCTTAGTTATGGATGTGCAGGCATTTGAAAGGCTTTTGGGACCCTGTATGGAAATTCTGAAAAGAAACATTGCAAACTATGAAGAACAGCTAGTTGCTCTGTTTGGAACAAACATGGACATTGCTGATCCCAGTGCATGAACTAAACATTGGAGCAACAAGATCTGTTATGAGAATATAGCACAGTAGTGGTTAGTCCACTGAGAAATTGTCTCTCTTCCTATAGATGCCAAGCATTTTCTGTGATTTTAAGAGTGGGTTTGGGGGGTATTTTTTTGGACTTATTACAGTGCAAATACTAGCAAACAAAATAGGAATTTGCTAAAATGTGGGCTTGATTTTTGAAAGTGCTTAGCATTGATGGTTCCATCTGGCATTAAGAAGACCCACAGTAGCAAAGTACCTTTGAAAATCAAGTCCTTTTTAACGCAGCATTTCCTTAAAGAATAGATTTCAAAAAACCCACATGCGATGAATTTGTTAAACCAGCTTCTGTTCTTCAAAAAGGTTAAAACTTTTCTGGAAAGACTGTTAGTTTGAATGTGGTATGTTGAAAGTATTAGTGCACACAAAGTGTTTATATGTATTAATACGGAAGATATACAGTAGATATTACTTTCTGACTATTACAGTTGTCATGATTTTATGTTGCATTTATCACAGATGTAGTGAATCACAAGACTAATCGTAAGATAAAGCATGACAATGCATTTTGTGTAATGCTCATGACCCAAATCTGATTTTTAACATTTTGTAATTTGTTTTAAAGTCCTCTTGTTTAATATGTCATGTTTCAGCAAGACATTGTAATATCTTATGCAATTTAGAGGACTTGTATATTTTTGCAATAAACTGCATTTTTTATTAGTTACGTGTATTCTGTACAGTCTGGAGTGAGGACAGCTGACAAATTAACCTTAATGCTTTAAAAGCAAAGGCATAGGTTGTTGTCATGTTCTACCTAATCATATGTAACCTATATTGTTTTCCTTCTCCCTTGTTTTATATTTATGCATTTTTGTCTTCTCTATGCTTGTTCTCTAGTTGGTTTTTTTTTTAGATCTCACTTTTTTAATCTGTTAAATCTTTTACCTATTTCAAGGGAAATGATCTCTGTATATCTCTCTTCTTGCAGTCTAATCTTAGCTATCAAAGACCAGATTCAATTACTGAAGTGATTGATATTGAAAGCCATGCTAAACTAAACTTGTACTTGAAAAATCCTTATCAGGAAGTACAAAAATATTTTTAATTTGAAAGAGGAATACTTCAAAAGCTTTGCACAAGTCTGGAAAGTATGTCACTGTTCAAGCTAACGTGTCCTGCTTTCAAAAACCCGTAAGTCATCATAAAATAGTATCTTTTTAGCCATAATAGCATGGGATACCTTCTGAGACTGGGGAGAGAGAGTATCATCTTAATTAGGAGCACAGAGCTCATTGCTTACAAGGGTCTGTGACTGGAAATTTCAGGCACAGTCCAATTTTAATACTGCTTACTGACCTGTCTGTTGATGTACATGGAAAGCTAGTGCACATAACAGCGATTGGCAGTACGTCTGCCAAAAGGATACTACAAGAATTGTAGGAAGGCTTCTTGTGCCCTGTTTCAAACACCTGAATTATAACATCTTTCCTTCTTAGATAATGACTTTTCTAATGCCATATGTTTGTGTATGTTGATGTAATTATTATCCTGTAGCTAGTGATATGTTCTGACAATTTATATAATCATACCTGTATATGAAATGATGATTATATAATATGATTACAATATATAATTTATATCATACAGTATGGTATAAATTATAAGGCAGATTCCTAACAAAATACAATCTGAGCAAAATTTACAAACGTCACTTTTTTTTAACCTAGAAACCTGGTATGAATAATTGCAGATACGATAACTTGCCTTTGTACCTTTGATTTAGGGAAAAAAAGAAAAGCCTGTTGTACTAGAAGGAAATATCAGGTAACCAAAATCTACACTCTTGTCATTCTGTATGCTTAATCTCTAAAAGCTACCTATATTTTGCACTAGCTTGATGTGATTAAGAAAAATGCTAGAAATTTCTTGTATGGCAGTAAACTACAATCAAGGCCATAAATGCCAGTCACGATATTTTCAATATTGTTGGTTATATTTAAAGTTTCCTTACAATAAACGACACTTTTATATATAAAAATCTATGTCTGTTGATATTGTTGTGGTTTAATTCCATTATCATAAAGTTATAAGTGAACTGTTTATATTCATTTATTAAAACATTCATAATTCTTAACACTTTCATGTTGATTTTCATAAATGATGTTATGCAGATGCTCTGTCTACTCAGAATAGATGACATCTTGGTGTGGTACTTGTCATAGCTACTTTGTATTTGAAGATTTGCTTGTAGTTTTTAGCTGGGAAAGAGCTCTGCAGTGACAAATTCAAGATAATCAGAGACTTAGGATTTTCTGTCCCAAAGTACAGCTTTGTGTTGCAGCAGTTTTATTGTGTGTTGCTCTTCGGGACTGGATGATTTCTGGAATTTTCTGTGTTGGTGAATTCAGGGGGGTTTAACCAACAGTAATAAACTGTTGCTAAGTTTCTTCCAAATCATTATATCCTTCATCAGTCAGCAATTGCGATTTCTCCTGAATCTATTCATATGTACACTCAAACATGCCAGTCTTTGTGTCATAAATGTGGCGAGTGTTCACCCTAAGAAGGAAATCATACCAAGGCACTGAGTTTTAATGACCTTGCAAAAAAAAAGTTAGATAGTGCTAATAATGTTAAACAATACTATGTTATGTTTACCTTATGAGACTGTCTGTCTCCATACTTAGATTACCTGATGCTTCTGTTATTAAAAGATTTTTATCGTCCTTGTTTATAGTCAGGTCGCTAAAGTAACGTGACTTTGGGAATTACTTGGCACGTATGTGTTAGTTTGTTTCTCTCCTCACTCCCCAACCTCACCACTGATTTGTAATTCTGCAGATGATTTAAATTAATTTGTGAGATGGCTTAAGTTCTAAAGGCGGGGGGGAGGTCCAATAAGTTTGTTGAAAATATGTGCTGCTGGGTGAGGAGAGAAAAGCCTGAGAGAAATCCTGTATGAGAAAGGCATTCTTGGGCTCGCATGTTACTAAGCAAAAGAAAATCCACATGGCAGAACATGTTTACAAATGCCTTAACCATGGGAAAAAAATTTGACCACAGCCCGCAGTCGATCACAAGGCACAAGCCCTGAGGAAAGCAAGTTTCCTTGGTGCTAGTGCTGATGCCGTCACTTTTTAAATGTCATTTGTGGTTCATGAGATTTCATTCAAGTTCATCTGGAATAAACACTTCTGAAATCATTCCCTTCTGGATCTCCTGTTTGAGGCCAAGAAGTGACTGACTGTGGAAGTCTTGGGGCAAAGCTGTGAAGAGCCTCGTGAAACCATCTACAACCTAATTGCCTGATCTCCTGATCTCATCACCACATACCAGTACCTAAGGAAGATGGAGACTCCCTTTTTACAAGGAGTCACATAGAGAGGACAAGGGGGAATGGACACAAGTTGCTCTTGGGGAGATTCCAATTGGATGTGAGAGGGAAATTTTTCACAATGAGAACAGTCAACCATTGGAATAATCTCCCCAGGGGAATGGTTGACTCCACCACATTGGACACTTTTAAGACTCAGCTGGACAGGGTGCTGGGCCATCTGGTCTAGACTGTGCTCTTGCCTAGAAAGGTTGGACCAGATGATCCTTGAGGTCCCTTCCAACCTAGGATTCTATGATTCTAAACCACTGTCACTCCATCTTCTTTCCTCATATTGTCTTTTGTATTCAGTAAGGACTATTCTGGTCCTTGCTGGAGTGGTGGGTTTGATTTTGCTTCAGTTTTGGTGGTTTTGTTTTGTTTTGTTTGAGATGTTTGGTGCTTTAAGCTTTCTATAAGGTAACTCTGGGATCTGTTACATCATTATTTGTGTCGTTTTGTAGTTTATGACACACTTTCCTTGGCAAGCATTATTTTTTTCAGTATCAAGAGTTCCCAGATGTGCAAAATCAGTAGCTGCTGGTCATCCTTCACAGACCTGACACATCAAATTCCTAGTCGTCTTTTTTTCAGATGCATGCTGCATGTGATAGCTTTTGCTGAACAAAGTGCTTTGCTGAAAGTCAGTTTGCCACAGCATGGACATTCTTACACGCTCTTGCTCAAGTTTTTATGTTTCTCAAAGCTCTTTTTATCCATTCATAAGTGTGATGGTTCTAAGTGTGTATTTATTTTTTGGAGTTTCCAAAATACTTTCCTGTGTCCGTAGTCCTCAAGCATTACTGCATTTTTCTCTGAGAAGAATTGCCTCTTTGTATGCTGAGTACGTACAGATCTGTGCTGTTGACTGTCTTGCAAAATTCAGGATCATTTTCAAATCATTCTGAGTTGGATTTCCTTCAGATATATACCAAGGCTGTTTCCAAGTTCTTAATCTACTTTTTGGCTCAGAAAGATGCTTAACAGGCTGGACACTCTCACTTAATGGACCAAGGGGAAGCTGAATAATCTTGGTAGGATATGAAAAGAAAAGCCCGAAGAGAATTACATTCTAACATTGTCTCTTCCTTCACCCCATTTCTCTCTTTCCATCTAAACTATCATTACTCTGACAGCCAGGTGAAGAGCCAGTGGCAGTAGGGGGATGCAAAGCAAATGGAGTGACCGGCTGGGTCTGTGCTGGGGCACAGTGGTCTGCTTAACTGGGCAGTGACTCCCCTCCTCATCCCCTTTGTCCTGTCCCTGTCCCTTCTGTGATGGCAAATCAAGCTGAGCTGCAGGGCAGTAATGGTGTTGCCACGGCTGTGTGAATACCATGGGTAGGGTTGTGTTTCTTCCTTAGAACTGGCAGAGGTATATGTATGTATGGGGGACTGGGGCAGAGAGAAGGGCCAAACTATTTCATACAGGAAACTGTGCCCAGTCAAAACTACATGAAAAACTCTGTCACGATGTTATACTGGGCCATTTTGACAGTATCTGCTGACTCAGCCTTTTTGTATTAAGGTAAATGGAATTAGGGCAGACTAAAAATAGCATCATGGCATGGTATGAATACTTTGTCCTTTCTTCTTTAAGAGTAACGAATTTTTTCAGGAAA